CAACCTTCCACTAATCTTTAGGAGGTGCAGGAACACAGGCGTAGTCAGGGCTGGAGAGGTGGAACAGTCAGGCCGGCCGTAGGGTTCTGTAATGACCGTTTGGTGGTACCTCTAGCGGTCCTCAGGGCAGGATTCCCCAGGGCGCAGAGTCTAAGCCCCAGTCTGCCTTTTCACCAGAGCCCCTGATGGTGGGGATGGACTTGGCGCAGGACTGAGACCAGGTTGCGGCCCCTGAGTACACCTGCTAGTGGTAGAGGGATCCGCCAGAGGTATGTGCAGGTACGGCTGGATCCGTGCAGGATGGATGGATGGCAGAGTAGTTAGCGTGGTCAGACAAGCCGGGTCGGTAACGGTGGAGGCAGATCAGTACAGAGCAGCAGGCAAAGAGTAAACGGGTCACAAGCCAAGGTACAGCAACAGGAGGTCAAACAGCATAGGAGTAGGCAGAAGAATAGTCAGGGATGAGCCAGTAGTCAGAACAGGAGACGGTCAACAGAGATCAGGATCAAGCCGGGTCAGCAACGAAGCAGGAACACAGGGTACAGAGGCTCATGGGAAAACATACACCAAGGCCCAGAGCACAGGCCTGGTCATGCCTTATATACACCTTTCTACAATCAGCCCCAGGTTTGGCTGATTGTGAGCTTCTGGCTGCTAAGAGCACCCGCTGGTCAGCTCTGGTACTGCAGCCCACACGGCAGGTGAGTTCCACCACCAGTGCTGAGAGCACCCGCTGGTCAGCTCTGGTACTGCAGCCCACACGGCAGGCGAGTCCCACCACCAGTGCTGAGTCCATTCCTGACACTGATGTTAATAGTACTGACACTATCCTTGGGGATTATTATTGTGGACACTGACATCAAAGCTGGGGGTTATTATTGCTATCACTGACATCAGTGCTTGGGATTATTATTGCAGCCATTGATACTAATGTTGGGGATTATAATTGCAGTCACTGACACCAATACTGCTGTTATTATTGCAGCCATTAACACTAATGCTGGGGGTTATAATTGCAGTCACTGACACCAATACTGCTGGTTATTATTGCAGCCATTAACACTAATGCTGGGGGTTATAATTGCAGTCACTGACACCAATACTGCTGGTTATTATTGCAGCCATTAACACTAATGATGGGAGTTATTATTTCAGCCACTGACACCAGTGCTGGGGGGGTTAATATTGCGTTCACTGGTACCAATGCAATGGCATTATTGTACTCCAACTTCCTCAGTGTGTACTGTGATACACTGCAAAGAATGCAGCAGGACCGAAATGTGTGTTTTCCAAAAAGCGACGCGTTTACATTTGAGCAAATACATTGTAAGGACATGTGTGGCTAGATGAAAACCACATGTATCTGAAACAAATGAAACCTCTGTTCCTCCAGGGTCTACTCTGCCTGGATATCTACCTCATGTAAATCACAAATCAAGTCCTCCTTTGTTTTGCCATGTGTTTCAATCTGCCTTACTTGGCACACGTTCACTAGATTGTCCTTGTTTACTTGCTGATTCTTATTTTCCCATGCTAGACCAGACATGATTGTGAAATAAAAGACAGAAAAACAGAGGATGGAGAGGGTCCTGATTATATACAGTGTGTGTGTGTGTAAAATATATTATGTATGTGCTTATCTCAAAGACCCCATTTCACTGGGGTTAATTACTTAACACACACACTAATGTTCTAAAATAGAAATATCCCAGTATGCTGCCAACAGAATGTAAGAATTACACTCTCAGACCTCACACTGTGTAGAGATTTTCAAGCCCTGGGACAACAAACTAAACACCAGCAGACTAAGAGAGATCAGCACTGGGGCAGATTAACTACGCAGTTATCCCTTTACACATACGTTGCAGTTATCCCTTTACACATACGTTGCAGCCACCATCACTTGTTTTTGTTAGGGAGCGAGGAGCCAGACACACAAGGAGGTGCAATTAAAGGTAGGTTTATTTACACATGTAGGGAACTGTTATTTTTTACACTAGTTGTGGTTTGTTTATGTTCATATACAGCCACTACCATAGAGGTCCCATTACAGACAAGTCCCTAGGTGTGCTTCCTGCCCCTACAAGGAGGTCAAGAAACCCCAGGATGTTATATAGTTTGTTTTTCCAGGAAGTATCAGGCAGAGGGTACCAGCCTGCCATGTGCTATGTATCTGGGGAGAACTGTATGGGGATTCTGTGAGTAATGATCCAGATTAACAAGGCTGTTATCTATCTAGTTGTTACTGAAGCAGATTAGGTCTGCCTCTGTTATATTTCAACTTCTGTATAGGAACCCTAATATCTCTGTAAGAGAGAGATTTGTGGTTCATTATCATTATTCTATTTACACACTGCAGAATCCTTATAGTTGTTATATATATATATATATATATATAGATCAGTGTTTTCACCTGCATAAGACTGTCAGGTGAACTTTCTGTTAATTGCAGTGTATCTTTGCAGCCTCTTTGCTTAAAGCCATAGCATCCTTATTGATCTGGATCTCCTTTTAGCTAGAATTAGCATAGGGAGCGTTGGATAGATTAGGCTAGAGGTAGGTTAGGCATCCGACGGCCACTTAGACAGATAGAGGCCCGGTTGCAGTGACAGCCCAGTTTAGGGATAGGGACTAAGAGTAAGGAGAGATAGGGCATTTTATCCTTTTAGGTGATGCATCGCTGATCTTCAGACAAGCAGTGCAATCATCCGCATGTTACTTGGACGCCATCACAGCATCTAAAGTGGAAGCGTGCATCTTATTGACTCTCACCTCTCCAGGGGCCCCTGCAACCGGACTGCGCTATAACCCATGGTTGGAGGTATTCTGTATACTACATGCACATATACCCGGGTATAATTGCAACCTCCCAATTTATGGTAAATTGTAATTCCTGAATGTTCTTCTTATGCATCCTGTTTTAAGTGGCTGCTTTATATAAACTTTGCATTAATCTCATACAGGTGTGGTGACATGTTTTCATGTTAGAAATATAAGCTGGTGCATTAATACTGCTATGTATAGTTACTTTAAGTTGTCTACCTGTTACATTCCTAGAAAGGGGTGAGTCTCCTCAATTGCAGGATCCCTATTCTAGGTGGAGGCACTGCCATTTGTATTATCAAAACCCCCTCTTCCATATAGCGAAGGCTCAGGATTGCCTAAGCCAGGAAGAATGGTCGCCAGAGCCAGGGTCGGAAGCCAGGAGGAGTCTTAGCAAAAGCCGAGTATCCAGGAGAGCAAAGAGTTAACTAAACAGGAGCTTGCTGCTGTGCAACAGACAGGACACGAATGCAATGGACAGCTGCAAACAGCAGACTTAAATGTGATAAGCCGCAACCTCCTGGGAGGAGCCGCAGAGGGCTGAAAGCGTGAAGGATCCCACAATGCTTTGCAGACCTAAGATGGATGCCAGCACAAGCAGCAGCACAAGCCTTGAGGAAAGGTAGGACCTTGACAGTTTTAGCAGAAACACACACACTGTTCACAGCATCTGCTGTTTAATTTCTGACCTTTTGAAAGTGATGTCAGTGTCACTTGCTGCCACACACAGACAGGAATGTAATAGAGTTTTCAATAAGGTAGCTTTATTCAAATGGACAATAGGTTCTTTAATATCTGTTAGGACATTCAGAAATTTAGCTTATTGAATTTTATTTTCATTTAATAAAAGATAATAAAAATAGTTCAAGAATGTATTTACAGAAAAAAAATATTACCAAGCAGACAATAAGGGAAAAGTACTTGGCAAAGTTCGGCTGGTCTTGGGTTCCATGTAGAATCCAATTAATTTGCAGAGTCATCCAATCTGATATATTGGAGTCATCAGCTCTCATAAATGACTCAATTCCTTCATACTTCTGATGGTAAGCCAGAGTTCTGAAGCTGCAAGTGCAGCCATCTTTTCTGGTCACTGAAAGGGGAGTTTACACAAATACCACAACCAATTAAGGGATCTGAGGGGTGTGCTGAAGGGATGTTGAAATGTTTATATTATGCTCCAGCAGGCACACCCCTAATGCCAAGTACTTTAAATGCATCAATATTTCCATCTGTCAAAGTTTTACAATCTGACAATCAACATAATATTGCACAGAATTAAATAAGGAATCCAAACCAAATATCATATAAATTGGTTGCTTATAATGCATAGGAGACCTAATGTGTTTCGATAACCTGTTGCATCTTGTCATATAGGCCTTGTAATTATTTACTTTTTTTTTCACATACATTAGTCTAACAAAGTTTTATTAACGTAACTCCATCAAACCTAGAATTAGGGATTAAGTGTAGAGTTTGGCTTTAGTAGTTAAAAGAAAAACCCAAACTCAAGGTAAGTATGTAAAAAATGCTAAGTATGCGGTGCATGCACATTATGACATAAACCTGCATAGGACCCTTTTTTCAATGTTTACTACCACTGTAATAACAGGTGTATGACAGGACCATTCAGAGTCATGAACTTACTGGAGGTTTATGATTACCTCACCAGATGATCTGCTTTGTGTAAATATGTCTTAAGCTGGGAGGTTTCTTTTTTTTTACTGTATTACCTACCATGAATGCCTAGCACAGACATGAGATTTAACTCTGACCATTTTGGTATCCACTTGTGAATTTTGAAGAGAGTGGCACTGTGTTGAGTGCAACTCTTCCATTTCCTCCATACGTTTTGGACTTTTCAGACCTTATTACTGTCACAGTCACTTCTACCTCCATGCCACCTGACTCTTCAGTTTTTGTACTATAAAATTAATTGTTTATCTTTATTTCCATGCCGTACGATCATTAGTAGAAAAACCCCTGCACTTTCAGCTTAAGAAATTACGCTACTGGAAACCTTCTTTTTCAACAATTTTATTAGCTCAAAAGAAATACAAAACATGGTTATACTTCTAGAATGTGCAGAGCTCAATATTTCCCCTGGTGACATCACAGTAAAAAGATTTTCCAGCTCATCTGTTAAATAGAATATTTACTTTTTCCACTGTTATTTGATCAAACAGCATTTCTTGTACGCATGACTGGCACACACTGTATTCGTCATTTCGACGTGGCCCTAATTCCTGAGAAGACAAAAAAACTTTCAAATAAGGCAATAAACTTATTAAAAATATATAAATGTTAATGAATTAGAAGATATACATTATTTTAAAGACAAAGCATTTTTTGCATCCTGCATAGAGTTGGGAAGGGTAAAAAGCCTTGTACAGTGCCTTGAACAAGTATTCATACCCTTTGAAATTTTACACATTTTGTCATGTTACAACCAAAAATATAAATGTTTTTTATTGGGATTTTATGTGATAGACCAACACAAAGTGGCACATAATTCTGAAGTGGAAGGAAAATGATATATGGTTTTCACAATTTTTACAAATAAATATCTGAAAAGTGTAGCGTGCATTTGTATTCAGCCCCCTTTGCTCTGATACTTTTAACTAAAATCTAGTGGAACCAATTGCCTTCAAAAGTCACCTAATTAGTAAATAGAGTCCAGCTGTGTTTAATTTATTCTCAGTATAAATTAAGCCCTCAGAGGTTTGTTAGAGAACATTAGTGAAACAGCATCATGAAGGCCAAGGAATACACTAGACAGGTCAGGGATAAAGTTGTGGAGAGGTTTAAAGCAGGGTTAGGCTAAGAAAAAATATCCCAAGCTTTGCACATCTCATGGAGCACTGCTCAATCCATCATCCAAAAATGGAAAGAGTATGGCACAAATGCAAACCTACCAAGACCTGCCGCCCAGGCCGGGCAAGGAGAGAATTAATCAAGGAAGCAGCCAAGGAGCCCGTGGTAACTCTACAGGAGCTGCAGAGATCCACAGCTCAGGTGTGAGAATCTGTCCACAGGACAACTATTAGTCGTGCACTCCACAAATCTGGCCTTTATGTAAGAGTGGCAAGAAGAAAGCCATTGTTGAAAGAAAGCTATAAGAAATCCCATTTGCAGTTTGAAGCCATGTGGGGGACACAGCAAACATGTAGAAAAAGGTGCTATAGTCAGATGAGATCAAAATTGAACTTTTTCGGCCTAAAAGCAAAACACTATGTGTGGGGGAAAACTAACACTGCACATCACCCTGAAACACACCATCCCCACCGTGAAACATGGTGGTGACAGTATCATGTTGTGGGGATGCTTTTCTTCAGCAGGGACAAGGAAGCTGGTCAGAGTTGATGGAAAGACAGATGGAGCCAAATACAGCGCCATCTTAGAAGAAAACCTGTTAGAGTCTGCAAAAGACTTGAGACTGGGGCAGAGGTTCACCATCCAGCAGGACTTGAAAATTGCTGTTTACAGATGCTCTCTATCCAATCCGACAGAGCTGGATCTAATTTGCACAGAAAAATGCACAAACATTTCACTCTCTAGATGTGCAAAGCTGGTAGAGAAATCCCCAAAAAGACTTGCAGCTGGAATTGCAGTGAAAGATGGTTCTTCAAAGTATTGACTCAGGGGGGCTGAATACAAATGCACGCCACAATTGTCACATATTTATTTGTAAAAAAGTTTGAAAACCATTTATCATTTTCCCTCCACTTCACAATTATGTGCCACTTTGTGTTGGTCTATCACATAAAATCCCAATAAAATACATTTATGTTTTTGGTTGTAACATAATAAAATGTGAAAAATTTCAAGGAGTATGAATACTTTTTCAAGGCACTGTAAACGTTTTTTTGACTGTCTGTGTCCCCTAGCTATCTCAGACCCCTATGCCCACTTCCAGCTCACCAAAGTGAATCCAATCACCTATTAGACAGTTATCACCGGAGCAGATATGGAGGTTTTTTCCTCTATTGCTAATCCAGTAACAACTGTAAATATTTCCAGTAGAATGACACTCACTATAGATTGTTAATACTTACCTATTTATTGCAAAGTGCACCACATCAATAAAAATGTTATCACACAAAAGAAAAAAAGACGTAACTGGGTACTATAATGTAAATGCATGTATATAGAAATACATTAAATGTAAGAAAGTACATACTATCATCTTCTGATAACATTTTTTTTTTTCTCTTTAAATCTGTGTGCATTAGTCCTAAAGATAGAGGCTAGAGGAGACACCTGGTGACTGCAAAGACTGTTTAATTGCATTGTAAGAAGCTAAGACAACATTGCAGGAGAAAATGCATTGCTTGATTGTTTTTGGTGAAATGGGCAGAAAATGGCCAAACAGTAAAAAAAAGCAGCTGTTATCAAAGTTTGGTATACCTGTAGAATCTGTCATGAAAAGCTGTCTCCACTATATATTAACGATAATGTAATGTATGTCACTAATCACACTTACCTGATATGCTTGGTCTCCATCAATCAAATTCTGTTTGTCAGAAGCTGCAGAAAAACACATAGGAACAAGATAAGTGAAGCAAAAAAAAAAAGAAAAACAGAAATGCTGCAGAGATTTAACTCTTTATGTTTCATAATTGACAGTGATTATTGCCACACCTTTCTACATTTGACCCACTTTTCTACCTGTGACTCCATGTAAGTTTTAAGCAGGTGATAGAAGGAAATTTTTCTCAGTTATTTAGCTGAGCAGGTTAGAGCATGTTTCAGATTTTATAGTAATCATCACCATACCACTGGTCTTAAATTTCAAAGAGATCGTCGTATAATTTGTAATCAAGAATACATGAGTAATGCAGTCAACAGCCTTTTGGGGTTAGAAGCAGAAGATTAAAAAAAATCCTGATAAAATCAATTTATCAATATGTAGCATTACCCCCGTAGAGGTCACAGAGTTTTGGGTCCCCCCAATAGTTCTGAACAGCCAGGCAACACTCATATTCTGCCACACTTGCACACTGGAAACAGCAAACAGTCCTTGAGCTTGTTTTTTGTAGTTTTATTAAGGGTTATTGAACTTGGATGGGGCTGAGGGGTGCATGGGATGCCCAAGGTAACTACAAACTGTGAGGACAAACTCCTTAGCAACTATGTACAAGTTTCATAGACAAAGTAAATCCTGTTTTTCACCTTCTCTGGGCAAGGGGACCCACAAATTGCCACTTCAGCAGAGCAGTCCCAGATGAAGAGCTATTTGGGTTTGCCACCTGACTACCATCTCCCCTTATTTGGCCCATGGGGTGTATGATTATTCACTCAGTCCTCTCCTGTGAGCGTCATGGGTTGGTGGCTGCCTTCAGGCCTTAGGCTGGGCTGGCTCCTTCCTTGCTCTACAGGTGGTCCTCTCTCAGGGGATGGTAAGGCTGAGAGATCCTCCTTTCTAGCTCCTGCTTGCAGGTAGGCCCCTCTCCTGGGCCCCCTCTCAGGCTCTACACTCCAGCCTTCACTCCATCTTCCCCCCTACACTACCCCCCCTGCTGATCAGGCTCTCTCATATTTAACCAGTTGCCGCCCTGGTGAACAGCTGCGCGCCCCGCCGGGCCTGTAGGGCCGCACTGCAGCGCGACCTGTCACCGGCCATGTACCTTGGACACGGCCGATGACAGATCTGTGTACCTGCCCCATTGCCAGTACCATGTGACCTGCTGTGACCGAATCACAGCAGGTCACATGACAGTTTTATACAATGGATGGCTTCCTATATGCCATCCATTGTATACAAGTGTGTCTAGCTGTGAATGGTCACAGCGATCACATGCACAAGCTGGGCCAATCACAGCCCATCTGTGTCATGTGATTAGCCAAAGCCAAATCACAGCTAAGCACAAAAAAAAAACCCCTGAATGAGTCGATGTCATTCAGGTAAATGCTTGCTTATAGCAAAGTAATTATTTGCTATAAGCAAATTGTGTACAAAAAAAAAATACTGATCACTTCCCCAAAGTAGTACAATGTTACTTTGGTAACATTGTACTACTTTGGTCATAGTGAAATATGAAAAAAAAAAAATCTTAAAAAAGAGAAAAAAAGTAATAAAAAATGAAAACTAATAAAAAATTTTTCATTTATAAAAAAAAAAAATTTATCAATTTTTTTTTTTCGTACTGTCACCAGTCAGTGTCCCTGATCACCACGATGCCGGTTATATGATAATGCTGTACTGCACTGGTGACAGTATGTAAAAAAAAAAAAAATAGTGAGAATAATTTTGTTAATTTTTTCATTTTCCGAAAAATTATGACAAAAAAATTACAACTTCAAAAAACTTGCCATGCCTCTTATGAAATACGTCAGACTGTCTACTTTGCAAAAAGTGGTCATTTGGGGATATCTGTACTGTTCTGACCTCAAGAAATTAGATTGGCCGTCAGTACTTCAGGATTGATCAATTTTCAGATATATCCCATAGTTTGTGAACTCTATAACTTTCCTACAGACTAAATAATAAATACTAATTTGGGTTATTTTCACCAAAGACATGTAGCAGAATACATCTTGGCCTAAATTTATGAAGAACAATTATTTATTTGCAAACTTTTATAACAGAAACAAAGAAAGAAGTTGTTTTTTTCAAAATTTTCGGTCTGTTTTTGTTACTTTAGCAAAAAAAATAAAAATCCCAGTGGTGATTAAATACCACCAAAAGAAAGCTCTAGTTGTGTGAAGAAAATGATAAAATTTTAGTTTGGGTAGTGTTGTATGACTGCGCAATTGTCATTTAAAGTGTGAGAGTGCTGAAACCTGAAAAATTGCCTGGGCAGGAAGAGGGTATTAAAAAGTGCCCTGTATGGAAACGGTTAAGGGCCGTCCTGACCCCATACCAAGTCTTCTGCTTGGGGATTGGCCAAGATCCTTTAAATATACAGATCAACCCCTCCTCCCCCTCCCCCGCTGCCTTCTAGAAACTTCTCACGCTTCTAGAGCAGGGGGAGGTATCAGGGAACTGACCTGCAGAGCCCTCAGCCCTGACCTAAAACAACCTGGCTAACACATCCCAGGCTGACTCATACCAGGCTGCTACTCAGCCTCTGACTAAAAACCAGTCTAAACCCCTAACTAAACTTGAGGGTCACTACATATACAAGTAGATACCACAGAGTACTCAGTGATCTGTATATCGTAAACTTGAGCTTCCCTGTTTTTAAAAATTTGACTGGAAGAAGGCTCAAAAAAATGTACATTTATTCAGTAAAGTAAACCTGTACAGAGGAAATATGGAAACTGAACTGCTCCTTCTCAGAATGTTAGTTTCCTGGCACTTCCAACAATTTTATACTTTCTGGAAATAATTTGCAGACCAGAGGTTAGTAACAGTTAGTCACATCCAATTTAACTTGTTCTGTAATGCTGAAGACATTTTGCTATTTAGCTAAAGAGGTAAACATCTTCAACATTACAGGGCATGTCCAGCTGAATGTGATTAACTATTAGTAGCTATATCATGATTTAGATCAGCCATTCTCAACCAGGGTTCTTCCAGAGGTTGAGCTGTTACTGATTGGCCTCCCATTTGATGGCGCACCCATAGTTCCAGGGCCAACTCCACTTCGCAGTGCCAGCTGCAGGAAACAAAAAATGTTTTTAGGTGTCTGTAAGGGTTGCTTTCTGACCACAACTGTATAGGGGTCATTCTTTCCATTGGCCACCATTGTAAGGGGTATTTATCCACTATTGTCCAATAATTAGTTTTACTAGGGGTTCTCTGAGAGCTGAACATTTTTTCAAGAATTCTTCTGGGACATAAAGATTGAGAAAGTCTGATCTAGATATTGTAAATGAGAACCTCTAAGGACAGATCAGACGTTCTAATCAACATGCTTGTTCCAGGTCAGTGTCTCATAAGTTGCCAAAGTAATAGGCAGCAAGGCAACTAGTATTCTTAAAAGCAGTGTTAGCCCCCCACCATATTTCTCTGAGTATGGGTTCCCACCATATTTCTCTAAGCATAGGTTCCCTTAAAAATGTAATTTATAGGTATTTATTTTACATGCACCACATCTTAATGAGGAAAAAGCAGTATTTACAGTGCTGGTTCCTTTAAAATATAGATACATGGCATTTGCTGCTTTATCTATCTTTTAAGACACAGAGCAAAGGGTGTTCATTTTGACCTTTTTTTCATACAGTAGTTCATTTTCTGACACCTGTAGCACTACCCCCAAAGGAGTCACTGTACTCTGGGCCTGTTTCCCCATCACAGCACCCACAGTCAGGCAAAAGGAATTTTCCACACTTTCTCCGATGGCTCAAGAAACAGTCTAGGGGCTTTGGTTTTTAGTGTTTATTTTGGGAATGCAGAACTTGGATGGGAATTGGGGGTACATGGGATGTCCGAACTATAGAAAACTGCAAACTCCAAAACACGGTTGAGGACATGATAAAGTCTCTGGCTGCTGTAATCCTAACTAAACTGTGCTGCACAACAGCGGGAGTAATGGTGCAGCTTAAACAGGGCATAAAAGTTGAAGACACGGCACCTGGGCATATTACTTGACACCTAGCTGCTATAGGCCCAAGGTTAGAGGTTTTGGGGGGCTCCTGGCTGTCTTGCACTGCGCTTAAGCTACCTCTGGTCCCAGACCAGGGGCGGACTGACCATCCGAGCACTCGAGCACTGCCCTAGGGCCTGGGGTCAGTATGGGGCCCCATGAACTACCCCTGGTACCTTTTATAGGCTTTTTTGGGTGTGCTTTGAGTGTGGGCAAGGACACGGGGCCCCATGATCCCCTATTGCCCAGGGGCCCCATGAGTTGTCAGTCCACCCCTGTCCCAGACACGTGAGGTATTTCACTTCACTGTCCTTTCCTTCCTTTTGGGTGTATAGTTGGCTTGTACTCACTCTCAGTGTCTCCTTAAGTAGCTCCCGGAATTCAAAAGGTCGCTGTACTGGCCTTTTGCTGAAGAGGCTGCTTCTGGCTTGGCGTAAAGTCTGCAGCTAGGCTTAGCTGAGTCTGTAGCTGTGTGACATTCTGGAGCTCCCTTGCTCTTCACCTGCTCTCTGCTCTTTCTTTTCTGCCCCAAGGGCAGGACCTCCAACTCAGGGTCACCTCCAGACAACTGGACTGCTCCCAGACTGCTAGGCTTCAGAATATTTATGGACTGCTTCCCCACTTTCTAGGCCCACCTTCCCAGGGTTTAGTGGAAGCGCCATGTATATTCAGCCAACAGCCTCTGTCCCTACACCTACACTCATTCACATGGGGCGGACTAAAGTGTATGCCCATGTGAGGGTCGGGCTAAAGTGTATGCCCATGTGTGGGGCGGACTAAAGTGTATGCTCATGTGAGGGGCAGACTAAAGTGTATGCCCATGTGAGGGTCGGGCTAAAGTGTATGCCCATGTGTGGGGTGGACTAAAGTGTATGCTCATGTGAGGGGCAGACTAAAGTGTATGCTCATGTGAGGGGCAGACTAAAGTGTATGCCCATGTGAGGGCTGTGTTTAAGTGCAAAGGTATTCTGTGCATCCCTGTGCAGGCTGTCCCAT